TTTACTCAAAAATGGCTGCGCATCACGGCGGATGATGTACGCACTGCGACGTGTGGCACAGTAACTTCACTCTTCCTTTTCTTCTCCTTTCGATGCTTGGATGGCCCGCCTCGATACCGGACCTACAACTAAGGCTGAAAATAACATCAAACATAATTATTAAATCTTTTTGGTCACACACCACTTCAACTTACTTAATTATCCTAATTAGGTTAAATTAATCAGGGAATTAAAAATTGAGATATTACACACCCCACGAGCCATCATATGACAACTTTATGTTGTCAAATTTCATGCAATATGTCATGGCACGTGACGCAAAGACAAATGAGCCACAACACATCATGCTGTTTTGCTAAAAATGATGTTCTTCAACTTCTTTTATGAATGCTACAATAAAATTTAGATTCTCGTGCTTCCTTAAAAGTGTCTTACTCTGATTTTCATTAAATATGCTTATATTGAAATTATTTGAATTGTGAAAACTTGAAATCCCATTTGTAATATTTTTAAAACTTGAAAATTCTTATTCGAATTAGACCCTTGATTATCTTGGATTTGGTAGTTAATTGTGGTTAAATAAGCCAAATTTTACAAAAAAAAAAATGTCTAATATTTTTAAGCATATAACCCCTCAAAAAATGCCTTATATTTTTTAATAGAGGGAGTATCTAAAAATGTATAATTATATATTATTATAAATTTTATAAAAACTTTTAATCCTAATATAATTTTCCAAAAAATATATTTTAAATAAAAGTAATTTATTTTTGTAAATAAAAAAATTATCCTCCCCACCCTGATTTGTGATATTGTAGTACCAAACCAAATCAGCCCAACATTTGGGGACAACACAGTTTGAGTATTTATTAAGCCCAATTCAACCCATGAACACCACTAATTAATAAGTAAAACCAAAAGTCTAATTTTATTGCAGTTTCACATGATTGAAGAGTTATTTTTTGTTGTAAAGATTGAAGAAAGGGGTGTGGATAAGTTTTATTTATTTATTTATTTTGGAAAAATGTTGTCCCTTGGATAAAGCACTAAAATGTTTCATCTTGGTTTCTCTCCATTTTCCCTCTTCAATTTCCATCTCAATTCATAGATTAATTTTCAAATGGTTAAAGTTTAACATTTTATAAAATTAATTTTTTATCTTCAATCGCAATCCTGAATATTAGATTGTAGTTTAGATCAAATATATTATATTTTAAATTTATTTATTTTTCATAATTTTGCATTTGATTTAAGGGTTGAGATAAGAAGTGGAGAGAAAGTAGAAAGAAGAGAGATGAAGAGAAGCAAAGTCTGACAAATGTTTTGGGAAAAATATTTTCAAGGCAAGAAGTTTTTAATGCTTGGGGATATCAAATTTATTATTTACATTAACATAAACTTACCAATTAAAATACGAGTAATTTATCATTCAAATAATATAAACATACATGTCCAACAATATTTACTGCTATTTACCACTCCAATAACAAATTTATAAGTGGAACTATAAGAATTTATCATAAGAATTCTTGAGAATAAATAATTTCCGAATTTGGTGATAGGAATAATTTTCCCAAATGTTTTGCCATAATTTTCGTATGTAGTTGTGAATGAATGGACCCAGCCAAATTGCATTTCTTGGAGGCGAAGCAGGGTGTTTGGGATATTTGCTTTAGCCTCGCAAAAGCTTTGCATCTTCAGCTTCTCAGTTGACCATAAGTATCCGATGAGGAAACAACTTGGCAATTCCCTTTCCGGGCTGCCAGACATCAGAACTTGTGGAATACTATGAGAAATTCTTGCAATGATCACATATATACCACGTCATCCATTGTTTGTCTGATAAAAATATATCATGTCAGCAATAATTAAATCAAATAAAATTTAATTTGTCATTATTTTTAATAACTTTAGTTTTGAAATCGTCTTTTTCGTTTTTTCTCTCCATCATTATCAATCACAAAATAAATTTATATTTACAATTATCTAAAATGACATGTTTTTATTGAATAGATTATAAATGATGTGATAATCCAAGTTTATACAAAAATTTCTCAAATAACATTTCTCATCTTGGAAATAGTCTGTATGTATCTTAATGGCCATTTATTAATTTTATTTATTTGTGACCAATGTTGACTCTACTTGTTGCCCTTATTTCTTTATGATCCCATCCCTAGTCTTTCCTTTGCCCTCTTAAATCTATTGCACCGCTTAATGAGACACATGAGATGGCCATGAATGAAAGAAATTGTTTACCTAAAAATTATGAAGTTCAACTAGTTCTAATTAAAAGCATCAAATTAATTTATACCATACTCTTAAATTCAAGTCTTAAAATATGAGTAACGTTTTAAAGAAAAATATTAAAATTATGTCTAAATTATCAGTGAAATCGTTATTTGTAATGACAGTCCAAAATAGTATAAGTGAATAATAATAATAGTACTCTCTAGTTTTCCAAAATATCAGGTAGTAGAGTAAAAAAGAATGGTTAATGTTCTATCTTGAAAATACCTTGACAAAAAATATTACTTAAACCTTTGTTAATTTGATTTATTTTCCACTTAGAAAGTCAACTATATTTATTGAAGGGGATATTGAAATGTTTTGGAAATATCAAATAATTACATTAGTTTGTGTAAATTAATTAAGGATGTCTTATAATAACAAAGTGATATAATTTTAGTTAAAGTACAAAATTATCCAAGGAGTATTTAACGAAAAGTTATTGGTATTTTAAAATATTTAAAAGCATAATATTTCCCTTAATATTTTAAACGAGATGCAATGTTGACCCAACCTTAGGTGGCGGCCACGTGTGACATCTACCTCACTTTTTCACACCTACCTATAACCTTTTTGCATTTTTTTTTGGCCAAACACCTATAACCTATTAGTGTGCTTCAATTAAGCTTGGATTTTTCGCTCTTGGTTTGAAGCTGGAGGGCTCGTCACAATTGTACACATGTAGAAGCTTCATCCTCCACCCCTCTAGCTTCCATATGCCCATTGTAGTATACTCACCCTTATCTAGATAATTACTATTTTCTGATTCTAAATATAAAATCTAGATAATTAATTTATAGATATCAAGAAAATTAGTTATTTTTGTAAAAATATTATTTTTAAAGGGTTAAAATACAATTTAAATCCTAAACTGTAGGTTCAGGAATTATTTGAATCTTAAATTTTTAAAAGGTATTTTCTCTATCTCAAATTATAAAATATTTTTAAATAAAATCTCATACACTAATGAAGTTCATTAAATACATTTTACATCTTTATTTTTAAAAAAAAATATAAACTTTTAAAAATACCTTTCATTTAATACTCTATTAATAAAAGAATATTGAAAATAGAAAATACATAGGAAGGGTAATATTGAAAAATTTTTATTAATAAAAGCTTATTTTCATCAAAGTTTCTTATATTTTAGGACTCTGAATTTTTCCTAAAAGTATCTTATAACTTAGGATAGAGGAAGTATATTCTAAACTTTAAATAATTAAAGTTAGGACAATTTTAACCCGCTGTTAAATTTGAACAAACTTCCATCAGTTTTTTAAAAAGTGGGGTTTAATGAATAATTTTTACCAAATTTTATTGTCTCTCTCTCATACACTCATTGAAAAAAATCACATATTAGACCCTAGTTTTTAAATAAATTGACAAATATTTGTTCAAATTTAACGGTGAAGGTGAAATATTTCAAAATATTTCAGGTGAAATATTATATCTTTAAATTGTTTAGGGTTTAAAATGTATCGTTTAAAAGTTTAAAGTTCAAATCTCCCTTAGACATATTGTTTAAGGTTTAAATTTCATATTAACTCTTTAAAAAACAATATTTTTAACAAAATAACTAATTTTCTTAATATCTATAAATTAATTATCTAGATTTTATATTTAGAATCAAAAACAAACAATTACTTTTATAAGTCTAAAACATTTAGTTAGCAATAGAGTCGGGAAACGGGTGGACCTGGTCTATATAGGCCCGACCGTTATAGGCCCAGCCCTTATAGACCTAAGCTTGAAAGCCCGATTATCCCAATTTCATTCAAAAATTGAGGTCCGGCTTTTATTCAAAGGGCTCAGAGTCGAGCCCATAAGCCCATTTACAAAAAAATAAAATAAAATTTAACTTTTTAATTTACTTAGAGTATTTTAGAATTCAAGATACATCAAACTAAAGTCTCACATAATTTAAAAAATAAACTCAAGATTTAGAAGTATAAATAAGATAAAGACAAAAGTCATCATCAATGTTAATTAAGATCTTCCTCATCATCATCTACAAATAAAATGTTATTTCCAACTTTGTCATAGGTCTAAAAGTGAGAGAGTGAGAGACCGAGTATGAGTGTACTGCATACAGTTTTTTTGGGAATTGAAAGTCCTACACCAATTCGACCATTCTTCAAAATCCAACATAGAAAAAAAAAAAAAGTTAAATGAGTTTGACAGGCCGCCCGAGCCCGAGCCTTTTTTTTAGGGTTTAATAGGGCCGGGTTTCAAAGCCCGGTTATCCTAAAAAATATTAAATTTTCAAATCCAAATCTTTATTAAAACCGGTTTAAACGAGCGGTCCATCAAGCTCGACTTTTATTTTCAACTCTAATAAGCAATTATATAAACTTATCCTTTTTTTTTCTATTTTAAACAAAGGGGTAGGCAACAAAATATCATCTGGTTTGCATTTCATTCTCGTAACATTACTTCATTCAAGTTCAATGTCAATATAGAATTTTTCGTAAAACAATAATACAATCGCTCATTTTAATAATAATTAAATAAAGCATCAGGCGTGCTTGGCCCACTGGCCGTTGTCAAATTCTATTATCTTCTGAGAAATTTGTCCGGATATGTGGGCCCCAACCCGACAAAGGAGAACGGGTCGTTCACGCGGCAACCCCGTCTCAGAATTACCAAAAAGTCCTTTTCTGCCTTCGATGAAGCCGATGCCGCGCGTCCCTATAAGAACAAACAATCTTTGTATTTCTCTCCTACTTACATCGGGCACGAAATCGGTGAAAAAATAATTATAATAATAAAAATTAAAAATTATCGGCGACGAAATCGGTGAAGCATTCACTGATTGCATTCGTGTTTTTCCCCTTTTTGTGCGATCGAGGCCTCGCTAGCTGCACGCAATTGCATCTATAATTACCATTTTTCAGGTGAGATTTTCTATCGGATTCCCTCATTTTCTTGGGAATTTTACGATCCTCTGTCCCCTGATCATTTCAGGGGTTTCGTTTTGGAATAAGTTTGGGTTTTGATTTTGTTGCTTAGGGTTAATCAGGATTCTGTATCTGACTCTGATTCTTCTTTCTTTAGATTAAGGATCAATGAGCGATCATCTGGTTGTGTGTGTTGACCGTCTTCTACGGCCCGCGGCCGCTGACCCGGTCTCTCATCCGGCTGAGGTCCCGTCTGCGGATGTGGCGGGATCTTCTGGTTCTGCCCCGGTGGTGGATGATGAGACGAGGTCTGAACATGATGAGGATTGTAATGAGGATGAGCCACTTATCCAGATGGCTGAGTGTCGCATTTGTCAAGAGGAGGATGGCATTAAGAATCTGGAGACTCCTTGTGCATGCAGCGGCAGTCTGAAGGTATATCTGCCGCTCCTTTTAGCTGTATTCGTTGAATTTCAAGTGTATTATTAGGGTTTTGTTCTCGTTAGTTATGAAGCCTTATTTTAAATTAGAGAATGTGAGATACATTGGGTGGTTTGGCTAAGGAAAAGATGTCTGATTTTGTACCTGAATTTGCGGGAAACAATGGATTAATGTAGGACGGAGAGAAAAGAATTGCCTCATTGGGTAAATACGTAGGCTGAATTTGAAATTCATGGGAAAGCCAAAGATTAATTTTTACGCTTCATTTCTGTGGTTTAACTTTCCTCCAAAAAAGAAAACAGGCGATGCTCTCATAAAAAGTACACACCAACCGGGTCTAATTGCTATTTAGTGCAGTTCTGCCATTTTATCTCTCAGAATCATTACTAATTATAATCATTGCTCCACTGTATTTGCCTGGATAGAAGGGTTAAAAGTTTATACTAATGCACTCTTGGTGTTTCTATGTGCTGTCTTGTTCATGTTATGAAATATTCTAGCCGGCTAGCCCTTCACTTTTGCTTTCTTACCGACCCTGACCTGCTTAAGACATATAAATTGACATTTGGCAATACCTTGAGATCTGTCTTTGATTTAGAACAAAGTTCTACAGTATTTTTTTTTTTTTTTTGCAAAAGTTTCTTTTATTCAAGCCCAGAGAATTGTTTCCCTGCATTTAACTAAATCGTATGCGCAGTGTAATGATTAATACCAAGCTTCATTTTGATGCTGAGAAATACAAAACAAGAAAGACTATCATTGTGCTTTTATCTACGTGAAGGGAATGTAATAAAAGCCAGGGTGAAGTAGCAAGTAATATTGGTGTTCAGTTTTTGCATCTCTATTTTATTCATTGCACCAATGTAATAAAGTGGTTGATTTTTTTTTTTTAGTTTCTTTTTATTTGATATAAAGTAAGTGATCATTGGAATTCCTTGTACAGTTTGCTCACAGAAAGTGCGTTCAACATTGGTGCAATGAAAAGGGAGATATAATTTGTGAGATATGTCATCAGGTACGTTTCCTTCTAATTTTTTTTTTTTTAAATGTCAAAATCATGTCATTCATGGAATGCTGTGATGACGGTAGACTATGATACTAGTGGTTGTCTGTGGAAATTTCTTGAACATTTGAAGAAAAATAAACGAAGTTATCTGGATGGAAAGGAAACTTACCTGTAGGAATTCATTTGTCATGTCTTAGAAGAAAAATTAAACAAGGGGAATGGTAAACGAAGTTATCTAGATGAGATGCTTCAGCTACGTAGTCCTTTTCATCTTCTGGATTATGCGATGACTTTATAGGAATATAGGTAACTGCTATCTAGGGAGCCTCTGATGCTCCTTTTTTTCTAACGTCTGGATATGCCTGTGTGATTTGACAAATAATTCCAATTATTTAAAGCTATGCTTAGTTTTGATGATTTTTTTTTATCTCTTTGCAATTTTCAGCCTTATCAGCCTGGTTATACTGCCCCACCACCTCGCCCTCAACCTGAAGAAACTACAATTGATATAGGGTAAGCTGAAGTTTCTACATTATATATAGCATTTAATTGATTATGTTAATTCTATGTGTTGAGTATTATCTATTGCAAGTTTTATAGAGATGTTTGCTCGGAACTCTTGTGTAACATTTTATATCTGGCTGTTTTAATAGTGGGGGCTGGACAATCTCTGGCGCACCTTTGGATTTGCGTGATCCTCGACTGTTGGCAATTGCTGAGGCAGAACGCCAATACTTGGAAGCTGAATATGATGACTATGCTGCTTCTAATGCCAGTGGAGCTGCTTTTTGCCGCTCAGCTGCTCTAATTGTAAGGCATTAAACCTTGAATTCCTTTCTAAGTAGTCAGTCATATATGCATGTTGCTAGACACTCAATATCAACGGTTATGAATGTTACCATTTCATGTATATTTGAGGTTTTGATATTAGTAATTGCTTTGAACTTGTGACTTTAAAGCTGCTCGTATACACCACTCAATCATTCACATATTAATTGTACACATTTTATATGTCAGTATGATGTCCGTTGAATGTGATTCTAAGTACAATCTATTCCATTTGGTGCAGCTAATGGCTCTTTTACTCCTGCGGCATGCACTTTCAGTTACAGATTCTGATGCTGATGAGGATCCATCTACTTTTTTTTCCGTAAGTCATTAGTTCCTTCTGGCTTAGCGGTTTATATTGCTGCAGCAGAACTGATTCAAAGTAGCACTCCCTGTTGAATCAATCTAACTAATTCACCAATTTCTGCAGCTTTTCTTGCTTAGAGCAGCCGGATTTCTTTTACCTTGCTATATCATGGCTTGGGCAATCAGTATTTTGCAACGTCGGCGACAAAGACAAGTGAGTTTCGGATTCACCTCCGAGCAACTCTCAGTGACAATGCTATTCCATGACAAGTGTTAATTTTACTGCCTGCTATTTTTTTGTTCATATATCTTGGTGTTCATGGTTATCTTGACTTTGTCTGGGGGCCTGCTTTACGCATGCTGTTCGATTACTTGAATGTTTTAGGAATCTCTTAACATTTCATGATATTGTGGAACAGGAGGCGGCAGCATTGGCAGCGACCCAAGTTGCTTTTGTATTACAATCGGGACAGCGCAGGGGGCTGCAGTTTGCCATAGCACCAGCGGGACCCACACTGAATCCACAACAGGAGCATGTGTAGTCTGTTTGTTTTGAATTGGTGGTTTTATGACTATGCATGTGCCATTTCTTTTTGGAATGCGATACTGTTGATTTCTCAGCTTTATTGTAATTTGTACATACCTTAGATTGAATGGCTCCAGGGCTCTCGATATCGTGGATTGCCCTGCCGTCGGTTCATGTACCTGTCCTGATTGATTATTCCTCTGGTTCCCCCCCCAGTCATCAAAATCCCCAAAAAGAAAAAAAAAAGAAAAAAAGGAAAAATTTGTTGGCATTTGAGATTCACTCTTATTTCTATTTTTAGTTTTTTTTTTGGTTAAATTAAACTAGAACAACCCTTATGCATTGCAACGGGGGTTTGACTTTAATGTGATAAGGTAAGAAAAAATTTGAAAACATTTACGGAACCTACTGTCTAGACGAAGACAACGGTGTGTCTGACTTTAATATGTCTCGTGTTCATTGATTTTCTTGGGTCCTCTCTATGAGACCCGCTATTCATTGTCCAAGATGAATTGTCGGTTTCTATGTTGGGTGGATCAAGCGGCAGGCCCGTTATCCATTCAGAAGAGTTCAGCATTGTGTCTCTACAAAGCCTAAGTCTGGACAATCTGGAATTGAACGTATAATTCGGATGTATTATTTATTATATTAAAATATTGTACATGAATTGGTGATATTTATGGCTTAGTGGCACGTAAACTCCCTTATAAGTGAGAAGTCACGGGTTTCATCTTCTTGTAATAGTATGAGGCTGTTAGTGTTTGTTCCACCAAATAAAAAAATATTGTATGAATTGCAGATTTTGAAATTTACAATGCTGCTTCAAAGGTGATTCTTCCTGAAACTCGATTGCAGATTTAAGAACCTGCAATGCAGGTTTAATGTTGATCCTTCCTATAAATTATTCCATCGTTTTGGTCCTTATACCCAATTTCGCTGAAGATTATTAGTATAACTAGAATGCAGAAATGAAAGTTAAGTTATTAACAAAGTTCTATGGCTAACTTCAATATTATTTCGCCTATCAGATTAGAGACAAGCAAGGACATCGCAGAGACTTCAAGAACACGGAACACTGTATATAATCAATCAAACACAATCAAGATGAACAAAGCTAGTGTCATGTTATGATTGATTAAAACCAAAATTTTGAGCACATCATCCATAAAAGACTTTACCATGTAAAAACTTCACTCACTGTGCAACTTGATCATAGATTCATATAGTTTAGTTTATGAAGATCATGTTATGCAAATTCAGAAGGTTCAATTTTTAGATCCAGCCACTGACAACGGATTAATAAGGAACTGAACGATAGGGACCCATGTGGGGTCTTGAAGAAAAATGAGGGCGTGATTGGATTTATTTATTTATTTATTTATTGGTTTGGAAGAAAGCAGATAACTGAAATAAGAATATATTCTGAGATAGTTTGGGAATGATTATGAAGGCATGTTGTCCAATTTTAAAAACCATTGAGAGGAATGAAGCATCTCACTTTACCTTGTAATGTTTTGGTGACATTCTCTTTGCAGCTACAACTTTTGTCTTTCCTTTGCAAAGACTAAATAGGGACCTCTCAGTTTCATAAAAACATTGGTCCCCCACCCCCACTAACCCAAAAAAAATAATAATAATAATATATTGTCTTCGCATTCTTTCTGCTCTTTTTAAAGTTTGTTAATGGTAGGGCAAAAAATATAAATACTACATGCATAGAATCTACTTGAGTAATAAGTTCCATTTGACTTATATGTTAATGTTAGACCACTATATTTTTAACAAAATTTAATAAAAATAGGAAAAAAAAAAAGGAAATGAAGATGTGAATCTGCAGAATTTAATCCTAAACTTTCAATTGAGCATGGTCGTGTAATCAACATTGAGAAATGGTTAAGAACAATTTAAGTGTTTATTGCAAAATTATCAATTAATTTAAGTCTTATCATAAATTCACCCAAAAAAAGTCTTATCTAAGTGTACACGGCTAAGCTGGATTGAACATTTCAGTGTCATATTGAACAGAACCAAAATGGATCTAGTTGGATCTTGATTCAATTTCTACTTAGCTAATAATTTACCAGGCTGTATTATATTTCAACCATTTCATGGATTAAAAAAGAAAGAAAGAAATACAGCATCTAAGCAACTGGACAAAAAATAACGAAAAAACAAAGCATCAGCCTCTTCAAAGACTACAGGGGATTAATTAACAATTACAAGACTGTTTTTTTTTTTTTTGGCTGCTTTATGTTCTTTTAGTTGCTTTTTCTATTCTTCTTTTTCTCTCTTTTCTTTTCTTTTTTCTTTTTTCCTTTTTTCCCCCTTCCCCGTGTTGGCATTATAGTGAGTCCGGGTCATTCCATTTCCACCAAGACCATTAGGTTAAGCTAAGGCCTTGTTTGTTTGGAAACAAATTTACAAAGGGCTCACTACTTTAAGACCAGACTAGACAATCAAGAAAGCCATGATTTGCAAGGCTTTTACCTTAGCTTTTTTTTTTTTTTTGGTCATTCAAAATTTTAAATCACAGCAAGTGGGTTCCGCCATTAACATTTAACAGGGCTTCAGATGCTTAGGGTCACATAGTTTGCATCAGAAAACAAACGTATGAAACAGTACATTAATATTGAGAAAGTGCATGCCGTACCACATATCTTCTTGCATTAATAAGGTCCCACAAGCTTGATTTTTCTTCCATTTCCTAATTAGGCAAAGTGACTAAATTGAACCTGAAACGTTTCTGAAAGGATTACATTATACCCCACCACCTCCAATTGAAGCCACTATGAAACTTTGGGATCAGCAAAAGTACTGAACTCCTGAGAATGATAGGGGAGTTAACAAGTAGAGAGATTTTATTTTTCTTTTTAAAATCAAAGTTCTCAATAATGTTATATAAAATTATCATTGATTCTGTTCAAAATCATAATTTAATCTTTTCGGTGATATAAAAATGTTTTCGGTTTACAACTTTAGAGAATGGGAATGAGATAATTCTAATAAGTATCAGTAATATCTTTATGGTACAACTACTAGCTTTGATTCTTTCACATAATGCAGAATTTTAAGTTCTTGAGGCCTATCTCTAATACTTTGAGTCTAAAGAGTCTCTATTTGTTCTTTTTTCTTTTCCTTCAAAAAGTTATTTGAAAAATTAATCATTTAATTAAAATATTATTAAATTATTAATAAATAGAAAATAAAATTATTAAAAAATAAAGTAATTATTAAAGCTCAATGACTAATGTTTTAAATGATTAAAACTATAAAAAATGAGTTGCATTAAATTAAAGTTTAAGAATTGAGTTGTCATTAAGTCAAGCTATACATGTTGAATTATATTAAATTAAAATTTAGGAAGTAAATTATGATGGGGTCAAAAGTATAAGAACTAATTATTCATTGAATGTTTCACATTCTTTAAAGCGACTTCATATAAGAATCAGTATGAATCTCTCTCTCTCTCTACACCTCAAATGATGTGAATTTCAGAAGATTGGAATGTCAGGCAAATCCCAGGCAAATATTACGCAATCTAATAAGCATAAACAAACAAACCTAAGGAAGAAGATTGGAATGTACAACTACAAGGAAATGCCTGGTATGTTTTAGGCAAAAGAATGCGAGTGAACAGCTATTCAAAGAGAGAATGAAAGAATATTCCATTGAGGCATGAGCCTTGCTAGCTACAAGGCATAAATGAAAACCCTCAAAAGGAAGTCTCAAATCTTAAGAGAACAACAGAAAGCAACCAGTCATCTAACCCTTTCACTTTAATTGGAAGATAAAAAAGGCAAAGAACGAGCACGTAAATTTTCCCCCAAGATATTGTTTTATCACTTGGACCATGACCAGTCATCCTTCTTCCCAAAACACCATGTCAGCCTGTTGTGATAATAAAGCGAGGAATTTATGCTTTCCACAGTTCCTACTTGCATGTGATTTTAACTTAAAAAAAAAAAAAAAACAACCACCCAAACCACACAGAGAGAGAGAGAGAGAGAGAGAGAGAATTAGAGTTCCATCTTAAAGTAAAACAAAGCATAAAGATACTCATTGAGCCAAAGAAATCAAGTACTGCTAATTTTGTTGCCTGGGGAAGAGAGCTTGGAATTCTAAAGAACAGGAAGATCATAAAACAGAATAAAGCAACATTTTGTTTCTTTCTCCATTTATTCTTTATATGTCTTGCTTGCTTCCTACTGTAGCAACCCCTTTCTTCTGAGTGGCGCGTTGTTGTTGTCTTCCCTCTTCATCTTAATTAAAAGTAACTAAAACTCCCTTTCCTTAATAACAAAGAAAACAGAAATTACCGACTTAACCCCCAACACTAATTCTTATATGTAATATAGTCTTTGCATAAGCAAACATTAAAACTGTCGTTTTCATAATCCCTACCTATGCCGAGGTTAAGATGTAAAACTTTATTTATTGTATGCAGACAAATGCTGAGGACAAAGATGTCCTGACAAACTTGTAGTGTGATATGACTATATTTATTGACAACTAAGAATGCAACAGCTACATGTACATACATTGGCAAGCATAATGGTATGATGTGGCATTTCTCCCAAGAGTTTTATCAGAAGACAAAAGAAAGCATATGACGAAGAAGTGAGGGAACAAATGAAAAAAGATACTTGGCTTCTCAAGGGTATTGTTCCAAACCCCTTTATTCATCCTTGTCAGATTCTTCAATAACAGCCTTAATTTGTATTAGGTTGTAGGCTCATGATTCAGGGTGAATCTTAAATTCCTGTAGGCCCTACCTGCTTTAAGCTTTAAAAACCCCTTCAAATCCAACAATGCATACATAACAAAGCTTATATCTACAGGGATGGACCATAAGAATACGCGGAGACTGCGACAGCAGAACTAGTCCTCCTATTTTAAACAGGAAGAGAAGATATCTTCCTATTCCTTACTTGCAGTTTCAGTCCAGAGAAAATGGTGTTTACCTCTTATAGAGTCCTTGTTCTTCTTCTTCTTTGTGTTGGGTTATTGTCAGTTCAACCAGAGAAAGTATTATGCCTGAGAAAGCTTGTGCATCCACTTGGACAGATCCAAGATCGCAGGATAATGCTGCAGAATCAGCCGACCCTGAAAGCTACAAGCATGGAAGTAATGAACACAAAGAAGAAGAAGAAGTCGGCAAATGCTGAAAACAGGATTGATCCAAATCAGTCAAGCAA